GTTTGAAATTTTCTAATCTGCTCTTCTTCTCAGGCATAGACTAGGCAACTCAAAAATTTTTGCTGTTTGTGATTACACAAAATACAGACATACAGTACATGGTACTCAGCATTAGTTCTCAAAGCCATCAGCTCCAGCATCCTTGGCTATTGCTCCTGAAGCTCAGCAATGCCCTAGCGATGAAACTTGCAGGATTTGAAAGTAAGAAACCCTCTGATTGCATGTCGTAAGTCTCATCATCAAAGCATTTCCCATGAATGGAACAGGTGGTAATTTTTAGGCATTAGACCCAGTGAGCACAATATCTCCAAGTCAAATCACTGAATGGTATTCTTGTCATCATCACCATGTGTGGTCTCCCTTTGTCATGGTAAAGCATGTATTTGCAGATTAACCAGGACTTGCTCCATTCTGCTGCAGTGCATGTTGTGCCAATTGTAACTTCTGGGATATAGGTTCTTAATGCTAGTATGTTTTGATGGTAATGCTGAACCACCTGGTGGCTAGTACAGTCAAAAGTCATTAATTCGGACACCCATAATCCGGAATGATCTATAATCTGGACCTCAAAGCTAAAAACTTTCTGCGCATGCGCCGTGTTGGCACATGCGCACAGCCGTTTTACGCGTGTGCATAAGACCTTCACTACTGCGCATGTGCAGAATACGTTTTCGCCTGCACGTTTAATGTATAAAGGACGGTGTAAGCTAAAATTATCTAATTATATATTTCAGTTAATGTTAATGATTGTGTTGTTCCTTAAACTTCGAATTGGATCCCGCTTATTATTTTTTGCAGACTGTAAGAGCAATTTTATAAAAGTAAACTTGAACTTTCGATTATGTCAAATAGAATTTCCGATGCTGGAACTTCCAAAGGATCTACAAAACGAAAGTATGTTTCGATGTCCAACAAACAAAAAGTGGAATTGCTGCAAAAAATGGATAAAGACATGAAGAATGTGACAGAGAGATTAGTGAAAATGAAAAAATTTCGATTCACAAGTTAGTCGGTATTCTCGGCACAGCAATTAACGGGACTTGAACAGCGGAACTTTGTAACTGAACAAGAAATTATGTCTGTTTATAGAATTAAAGAGAAAGAATTATCACATAAAACGAAGGAACTTAAACAACTTACATTGAAAGAAATGTTTAATAAAGTAAACAAGTAAATATTAAGCTGTTTGTAAATTGTGATACCCTTTAGATCATAATTGCTCTTTATTTCATAAATTACGATTTCATATTTTTAATTTTAGAATTTCTGCATGCCATCTTACGAGATTTAAACTGATGATCTATAATCCGGAAAAATCGATAATCCGGAATCGCCGAAGTCCCGATGAGTCCGGATTAACGACTTTTGACTGTACATCATACATAAAGCATAATCTTATGAGTATAGAGGTAATCTTAAGGTGTGAAGCAGAGTCTCATGGTGACAATCAGTGGTATGTTTGGGGATTGTTAAATTATTGTATGCACTTTTCATCACTTGTGAGCACTTGACCAAATATGGGCATGTTGCAGTGCTGAGACTGCAGAAATGACAAACAGGCTCTGTCATGTTACTCCTTGTTGGCTGCTAACAACAAAGGTACCCACTTCCTGAATTTGTTTTACTGCTGTCCTCTATGGTGGTCTTTGGGCCTAGTCATCCAACACTGTGGGGTTCATCACAAAAAGAACTCGGATCTCCTGACCTAACTTATGGAACTAGTCCTTGGCAGTGCATTCATTCACGACATCTTTCCCAAAGGCTTGTCATATTCAATGACTTGATACGACTGTTAACAGGCCCATCTTAAAGTCACACAAAAAAATAATTACAAATGAACAAGCTTAGATACTTCCATTTCTTTTCAACAATGTCACACAAAAAATAATTGCAAACGAGCAAGCTTAAATACCTCCATTTCTTTTCAACAATGGACGAGTTGAGCATTATACAGTCAAAAGTCATTAATCCGGACTCGTCGGGACTTCGGCGATTCCGGATTATAGATCATCAGTTTAAATCTGGTAAGATGGCATGCTAAATCATCTTCCAGCACATGAGTTACTTTTTCCTCTCCGTGAGCACTTCATTAATTGGAACACTGAAAACTGCAAGAACTTTTTTAGTTACTTTATAGGTATATTTACAACAGTTACTGTCAGTGATAGATTCCAAAATTAATTACAAACTAAATAAGTTTGCAACTGAAATAAATCATAAAATTAGCTATCAAGTAGTAATAAATTAATATTTATATTTCAGTTTTAAAAATTGGTTCATGAAGCTGAAAAGTATTTTAGGAACCAGTTTTGCCGAACCGGCTGAATCCCACTGCTGCCTAAGCTGTGTTATAGTAATTGTTTCCTGAAATCCATATAATGCAAAATAAGTTTCAGCTATGTCTATACTGTCAAAGGTTATTCTGACATTTTCCTGGATGTGCCATTCTTCTTGGTTGAATAATTTATATGTACCATAATATTGTCAGCTTTGTAATGTTCAAACAAAGTTAGAGATAACAAGTGTGCATTTTCTGTATGAAATAGCTATGATAATTGTTTCAACTCACATTTCTGCAATGAATAAAATTACATTTTTGACTTCAGTATAAAATAAGTGTAGTGGTGGAGAGCTGCATGTTCCAGGGGTACAAAGAAGAATTTAAAATAAATAATTAAAAATTACATACACAACATTGGTGCACATACAAAACACATTTCCTGTGCATGCATTGATAACAGATTTGCCATGCATATTGTTTATGTCAATGTGTGAAGTACCGTATATAATCGCGTATAAGTCGAGATATTTTGGACAAAAAAAAAAGACTTCAAAGTGGGGGGGGGGTCGACTTATACGCGGGGCCATAAAAAATGAAAAGAATCGGAAGTTCAAAAATTTCTTTGTATAATGCAGTTGTTTTCTTCCCGCACTCGAATTGGACGACTTATCAAATAAGTCTTCGTCTGTTGATCATTTTTTAAAGAAAAACTTTACCGAAAAACGTTTTGTTTCGATCAGGTGTGCTGGTTCACGCCCATGAAAAGGGATGGATGGATGGATGCTGATGGAACAGTCGATTGGCTTAAAAATGTGTGGGATAAAAGACCAGGAGCAGCTTTCAAAACACCTTCTCTTTTAACACTTTTCTGAAGAAGTGACAAAAGTGACAAAACACCTAAAAACGACTGTGACTGTAATTCCGAGAGGATTGACATCCGTCATTCAACCCCCTAGATGCCTGCCTCAATAAGCCCTTCAAAGTAAATGTTAGAAAGTATTGGGCAGAGTGGATTAGTTCCAGTTGACCAACATTTACAAAGTGAGGCAACATTAAAAAGCCTGATATTACATTAATTGCTCAATGGGTTAAAGATGCTTGGAACGAAATACCCTCCGAAATGATTATAAAATCATTTAAAAAATGTTGTATTAGCAATGAACTAGACGGCACGGAAGATGATACTGTTTTTGAAAGCTAAAATGACAACGAAGGCTGTAGTAGTGATTGTAACAATACAGAGTTCGAGATTGAAAATATGGTATGATGACGAGTCAGTGACGACAGAAAAGTTCTATGAAATGTTTGGCGAATCTGACCATGAATCAGACGTTGAAGGATTTTGATTTTGTTTATTTACCAAGGTATTTTTTATCATATATTTGCTTTTTTTTCTCAGATGATTTTGAATAAATGTAGTACTTAAAAAATTTTTTTCGAAGTTTCTCGATAGATTTCGGAAGTGGGGGGTCGACTTATACGCGGGTTTCTTATTTTCTACGAATTTTTTATGTTGAAGTGGGGGTCGACTTATACGCGAGTATATACGGTATATGAGGAATTTGTGGATTGTTTGGAAATATTATCAAAATCATTTGATTTTAAAGAAGATCTGAGAACTTCAGAAATATAAATTATAAACCCATACTCTTTCAGTTTGAAGAATATGTGTAATGATGAAGAACTGAAAGAAATCTTTTAGAACTGTGTACAAATTGTGTTCTTGAAATGCAGATTGAAAGCAATACTCTGGAATAATATTGGTGTTTGCCATATGAATATATTCTGAGAATTTTGTGAAAAGGCACTAACTGTTCTCCCATTTATGATGATGTACTTATATGAATCTGGTATTTAGTGCCTTTTGTTAGTCAAAAGAAAATTAAAAAATTGCTTAGATGCACAAGCAAATATGTGAAATGCTATTGACAGCAAACTGCCACAATTCGAAAAACTTTTATGCAATAAACAGGAACAAAAAAGCCATTCATTTTTTTGAAAGATTTATGCAAATTTTCATTTTTGTTCATTAAAACTTTATTACACAATTTTGTTAACTGCTTGGGGGGTGGTAAGAGCATATTAAAATTTTCTTACAGCTGCTGTTCATGAAAAATGCTGGGATGCCGTGTTATGGTGTGCACATTAGCTTTGCATGTGATGTTCGTTCTAATTTGAATTCATATAAATTTTTCATCTCGTGAGGGCATGTTTTACACTTTTTGTTATTCAGCATATAAAAGCAAAGTTACATACAAATTAATTTTTAAATATCTAGGTAGACTACTTTATGAAACATGAATATATATAATAACTGATATATGTGCATCTGTAAAATTTAAATTAATGGCTGTATTATGTTGTTGGAAATATCTGAAACAGAAGTTTTGAATTTTCATGTTTTCTTAGATTATTCTGTGGTAAACTGAATAGAGTTATTTTATTAAAGACCTTGTTAATAAATAGAGTTTTGTGAATGATTATATAGTTTTCTGTGCTACGAAATATATTTTAAAAATTCAAATATGTTACAGGAATCTACATACTATATTATGTTGGATAGTATGTTATGTAAAATACCTTTTATAGATGATTTGTGGAAATTCCTATGTAAAGAAGTTGTCATAATACCATGAGTTAAAATAATCTTATGATAACATATGATAAATTAACCATACTGGAAATATAAATTGCTGTTTAAAATATTGAAAAACATACAATTAATTACATAGCATATTTTTTATTCTTTGTACAATCTATAGTGAATGCTCAAGATTCAAATTTGACATTTTCCATAAAACAATAATTCACATTTGTACAACTGTGCAACTTTTCATGGAAAAGAAAACAGTAACTTGAAAAAAAAAAAAAAAAGTTAATAAATTTTGTAGATTAAAGAGATATAATTTAATATAGAAATTTTGGTTGTTAAATTCTAAAATTATTCACAGTATTGGAAAGGAACAAGAAATATTGAGCTTGGATGTTAAAATTATGTTACTGATAATTAAAAAAGAAAAAATAAGAAATAATGAACTGTTATTTCAGGTACCATGTTTGCGCTAAAACTTTGGAGTTTTATATGGGTGTACCTATAAATATAAATAACGATGAACTGTCAAAAAAATTTTCATTTCCATTTAAGTTTTGTATCACATGTCCTTGCAAAAGATTTTTACAATATATTTCAGCATCTTTGTCCTCTCTAGCAATGCCTGCTTCTAGAAGCCATTCTATCAAGTCTGGCCCTATAAATGCATGACTATTGGAAGTGCCATTGAAAGTGATAATTTGTGCAATTTCCATTTTACATTTTTCATAATATAGCAACATAAACTCTTCACAAACTCTAGGTGAAGATGTAGATTCATTGTAGTAAAAATTCTCGTAATAATGTTTCAGTTTTAACCATTTTGCTTGTATTATATCTAAGAATCCTCTATCTAATCCAAAAACAAAAAAACATACAATTCCCCCACTGTAACTCATTATAATGTCTAGAAACTCAAGTTCTATATAGATGCCATTTATATCTTCTCTCATGAGTTTCCATACACAGACTGCTAAACTAAGTGTCATTGCTATACTCAGTGTAATTAACAGGGCTGTGTGTTTTAAAATTTGTTGGTCATCATACAATCCTATTTTTTCTTGTTGGTGAATATAGTTTGTTACTTCAATCGTACACAACCTTCTTCGTTCATTACTACACTGATAGCTTGAATCACACAGTCTTTGACTAATAGCATCAGAAATCAGATCTTCAGTTTCATCTGCAAAACTTTCACCTCTGTTTTTACCCAAGTCTTCAATGTCAGTACACATATTATTTAAAGTAGTATTAGGATTTGAAGAATGGTGAGGTGATGTATATTGTTGATATGAAGTTTGATTATACTTGTTTAGTCTCTTTCTGAAGCAAACATGCTGTGAAATAAGGCAAAGTATTGTGCTAAACAAACATATTAATGTTAAAATAAATGTCGAAAGAATCTGAATGAACCCTAACTGAAAGACTGGGTCATAAGGTGAGGATCCTTTTTTAATTAATAAAGCAGCTGCAATTGCATAGGGCAATATGTAACATATTACTATCGATAATGTTGAAATATGATTTTTTATTTGTAAAATATAACACAAACTTCTCCATCTTGCAAGAAGAAGTAGAACAGCAAGTAATACAGTGCACATTCGAGTTGCATATATACTGCCAGTGGTGATTATATACTGAGCATAGAACATTACTGTATGTTCTTGAGGTGAAAAAAATAATAGCAGGCCCCCAATTGCAGTTAAAGTTTGTGTAACAACAAGATGGAGTGTTACATTAAAATTTATGCTTTTCCAATGCCTTCCAAGTAAAAATAACACTAGCAACCACATGCAAGTAAATAAATTTGCACAACCCAAATAACTGATTGTTTGGCTTATGTAAAATGTTGTGTTTTTGATGCCCATTTGTGTAAGAGAAATTGCAGATGCTGAAGCAAACATCAGAGGGGCTGAAAATAGTGTGCTGCTAATGATGGTTTTTGTTATTATATCAACACATATTTCATACTGTGTAGCAAAAACATAAACAGTTGGTGCAGTTGGTATTGTTCCATATAAGAAGCCAAAACAACTAAAATCTTCTATCTCTCTGTCTGTGCTTCCCTCTAGCATAAGTGCTGAAAATTTCTGGAATAGAATAGGGGAAACTAAATTTTTCATGAGCACAAGAAGCACTACAGTCAAAGGAATTTGGTTTTCATATGTTTCACTCTTTTTAGACATTGTATACCCAACTAAAAGTAGAGCGGTGGCGGGGAAAGCAGAACTGAAAGCTTTTAAAATTGAGTTAAAAATTGGTAACATTTCTTGCCCATAAGTAACATTCCAAATTAAACCAGTTAGAGTCATAAGTACAACAGGATTCATAATAGTTCGTTTCAGGATGCTGAAAAAATGATATCTTCTTGAACCTTCACTATCATGCTTTTCAGTTTCTATTAAAAAGAATCCAATTGTGTTAAATATTAAGAGTTGAATAGGAGCTATTATATAAACATATGCTGGATATTTGGGATGTGTATTACCATACAGTGACATGAGAAGAGGATAACCAAGAGCAAAATCATTGCTTTGTGTTACAGCAATTGCAAAAATGCCAACTTTTCCTAGATGAGGAGGATGGGTTAATATTATAGCCATTAAAGAAACACAAGCAAAAATGCATGCTTTAGTAACAAAAACTGCTGCAATAAATTCCCATTTTACAGTTGTAAAAGCTGTAGTTGATATTTCAACAAATATCAAAGCAGGTAGAGATAAATACTGTACAAATTTTGATAATCCACTAGCTTCGTGACTACGTAAAACTTTCGTTCTTCCCAGCAGGTAACCTAAAAATATTATTCCAAAGCACTGCAGCAGAGCTGGGAGTAAAGTTTCGTCTACAGAAATTCTAGGTTTCATTTTTGAATAGTTCTCCAAATCCTGAAATACTCTTCAGCACATTTTAACCTGCATATAAAACTTATAATTAGTATTTCTGAATTTTCTACTTCAAAATGACATTATTAAAGTAATTCATACATAGAAAATACATTATTATCAAAACAATTACATACACACAACATACATACAATATCTTCTACAAAAGCAATGAAATTAAGCAGTGTCAACTTATAATAAAGAACTATGATTATTGAACTGATTGGGGTCAGAACTGGTTCAACCAACCAATTTTTATCAAATAAATAAATAAATAAATAAAATGCTATTGTAAACCTTTCTTTTAGTATTGAATGTTAGTATATTTTTAAACTTAAATATTAATGTATTTTCAAGTATCCTATTTTGACATTAAATTATATTTTTCAATTAAATAAAATAGAGTAGCCATAAATGCTGATTTTGGAAAATCTGCAAAATCAGCATAATCCATAGCTTACAGACATTAAAAAAAAAAAAAAAACTCTCTCTTCTGATGATGAAAGTTATAGTGAATTTTTTAGTTCTCATGATACTGATTCAGAAATCGAGATGCATTCTGAAAACAAAAATTAGAATGACATTTATTGCTTTATTGGAAAAGACAAAAAACCCAACGGTAAAAAGAAAGTCTAAAGCTGATGTTATAACTCCTGCTCATAATATTATTACTAAATTGCCTGGAAACATCGGTAAGGCAAAATATGTGTAGACTTCAAATGAATTGTAGGAAATTTTACTAAGTGAACAAATGTTGCTGAAAGTCGTCAGTTATACAAATATTTATATTGCATCTATTTCTAACAGCTTTCAAAGAGAGAGATGCCAATAACACAACTCTAACTGAAATTCGCACTTTTATAGGTCTTTTATATTTTTGTGACATAAGTCATCTCATGTAAATGTGCGGGATCTGCAGGCAATAGATGGAACTGGCTTGGAAATTTTCCACAAAACTATGTCCTACAAATGGTTTCTTTTTTATAAAGATGTTTGCTTTTAGATGACATAGGAACTCGTGTCGTCAAGAACGAATGAGATAAACTTGATCCTATAAGAGAGTTTTTTGAAGATTTTTTAATAACTGCCAGAAATATTACACTATCGGTGAGTTCATAACAATTAATGAAAAACTTTCGAGGAAATCTTCCGAGGAAGATGTTCTTTCAGGCAGTATATTCCTGATAAACCTGAATAATAATATAATGAATTCCTAATAAATTCTATATTAATATAATATGTTTTTCTATTCCTTTAAAAAATTTATTTCATAAAGAATATTATAGAAATTGAAATTAAAATTTTAATTTTTATAGTTTGCATTTTTTTTCTTTTTAAGTTTGATCATAAAATTTTGACATAAATGTGACACTTTTATCTGAAGCGTAAAATTGTTTTCTTCAAAAAACTGGAGCTGGGTCTTTTGGATCCAGGGCACGCGCTCCCATGTTAAATAGTGACATAGCTGCTTCTGGGAGGTTTTTCTCGCTGTGCAGTGACACCATTTCAAAACCATTTTAAATTTCCTTAAGAATGGAAGATTTAGGTTACTGAACTATTTACAATATGATTCTGATGTAAAATATATTAGTATTTAACTATTAAAGACATAAAGAAAAACCCTACAGCAACTAAACAACACACTATGAAAAACATTTAACTGCATTTACTCTATTACATGTAATACATGAAATCTGGTTTATATAGGAAAAAATAAGAATAATCTTAATATTAGAATTAACAACCATAGATCTTGCATTAAAAAAATTTTAAACGGCAAAAATAGTAATAGTTCCACTACCTAAGAACTTGAACATTTTAAAATTCATGACTATCAAAATAACTATCAAAATGTTAGGTAATTTAAAATTAAAATTAAACAAACATGTAAATACATAAAAAGATTTAGATAATATATAATAATTTAATAATATTACTATCAAAATTTTAGATATAGTACCTAATCTTAAAAATAGACTTTTTAAGGAATATCTATATGTTTTGCAGTTAAGAACGCTTTATCCCTATGGATTAAACTCTTGTATTAATAGTAAATCTGCCTTTTATGCTACCATTTATGAACAATTCAATATTTTTAGTAAAAAAACACAAAGAAGTACCAGAGGAAATAACAAAAAAGTTAAAACTTCTCTTAATCTAGTCAAATTTTACAGTCAAATTTTAAAGATTTATTTGAAGAACAACATTTCAAAAAAATATATTCTTAACTATCTTTATTCCTTTCCTCACAGACATTTTATTATTCAAAATTTTGTCAAAAATAAATTCAAAGGAAATAATCTCATTAAAGATTTGGTACTTGATTTCATAAAATTAAAATTCAACTGTGTTCCTTTCAAAAATAAAAAAATTCCTGTACTTCTAACTGTATCAATCAATTCCTGTAATAATTTCTAAAATTTGAGTTTGCTTCAAGTACAACAAGAAACTAAGTAGTTTTATTTCTAACCGTAATGAAGAAGATTCTGCAGCACCATGATTATGTGATGAAGAAAAATTTCTGGCATTTGTTGACGAAGAAAGAGCACAAGCATATTATAACAGGAAATCTGGACATTATTCAAGAACGAGAGATTGGACTGCTTATGAAAAAAGAACGAAGTTTAGACTTATTAAAAATTCATTAATGAATTACATTGCATAGAAAGTATTTCTACAGATATTGATAATTTCATCTTGAAAGTTAGTTCTCAACTTAGTTACCTTCAAATCTAAAGAATGGGAAAATGAAATAATTACTCAAAAAGAAAATTGAAAAAATTCAAGGATTTTAAGGAATCAAAAACTGGAAAAATTTACTTCTAAAATTTTCACAATTAAAAAAGCAATTTACCATAACTAAAATTGATAAAGCAAACAATAATTTCAGTATTTATGAAAACAATTCTACAATGATGTAATTGAAAATGAACTAAAAAAATCTGCTATTCTTTCTGCAAAAATAAAGAAAGAACTGTTATTAACAAAATATCTGCCTTTCACAAAAAAATGGAAAATTTCTTTCTTCACTACAAATAACTGATTTGCCAATCTTTATGCCTTACCAAAATTTCATAAAAGTCCTGTAAAATTTAGATTTATCGCTAACAGTACCAGAAATTTCAAGAAGAATTTTGATAATATTTTTACCAATCTACTTAGTAGTTTTTGAACAAGTTAAAGAAGACAAGAACTTCTGCTGGATTATTTAGTAGAACTTGAAAATCATTGAAGAAGTTAAAAATCTTAAAATTTACTATATTATGAATGTAGTAATGCTATGACTTTGAAAACCTCTACACGACCCTGCCACTCCAAGAACTCTAGCATAATAATCACTTGTAACATATCATAAAATAATTAAAAACAGTCTGTTATCGATATTAATTGCATGAATAATACTTAAAAGCAAAAAAACAGTAACGTATACTAACATTTACAAAGATACAATATGATAATATATGAATTTGAAAAAAAGTAACATACATACATCAAAGAATTATTTGTGCTGCCTTACCATTTCTTTCATACCACCATAAGTTATTCATGTGCATTAGAAGTTGGAATGCTAAATACACGTTCAATTATATTTGAATGTTTGAAATTACCTTTATTTATTATTTTTTTTAATATAAATGCTCATATGTGAATTATTTTTTTACTTTAACTTTTCCAAATTTCCTACTTCCTTTATTGTGGAAGGTTCATTAAAAATACTGTCACCTTTTACTTTGAAGTCAGTTTTGTTTATACATTTATAAATTCCGCAGCAATTTGTATAGTTGGAACATTATTTTTAAAATTAAATTTTAAACAAAATACATTTTTGAAATCGTACCAACTGTTTAAATATTTCATAAAATCCTTACTGGTTTCTTGTTTGAATTGTTTTATTTTCTGGAAAATTCAGAAAGCCTACTTAAATTCCAAAATCTTAAAAACACTCTTCACTGTGCTTTTCTTGGTATATATATATATCATTTTTAAGATCCGAAAAAACAGTATGTAATTTGCTGATATCAATGTCTTCTCCTTCAAGAATTAATATATATTTTATATATATGTATATATAAAATTTGCAAAAAGGAATGTAGAAAATATAGCATCAGTTCTGGTACAGATTTTTTTTTATCATCAATACCATTTTCATGATCTTGCCCAGTTTCCCAGATTGTAGGATCACTTTCTTTTTCTCCTTGATTTATAAAATAAAGGCTAATGGCAAGTGTATTTTTCTGAAACCTATCAATAGCTTTATACAAATATACCCATCTGGTAGAAATATGTTTCATTTTCATAATGCCTGATCTAGGAAATCGAAACAATTTCTTAGTGTTGGGATATTGCAGGTGTTTGATGAAAATTCACTATTTACTTATAATACTAAACATTTCACATCAAAAATTATTTTAATGCATATTTATGAGCAATATGGAGAACATGACAGTTACAATTAGCTTTTATTAAATTAATTATTTTTAATTTCATAAAAACTGAATATTTGTATTCAGAATTGACTGGTGCATTATCAGTTTCAAATGAGAAAATATTTTCAGATGATAACCCTCTTATTTTCATTTTTTGATTTTATATTAAAAATTTTGGTACTCTTCTGTTATCAGGACGGATTTATAAATGTATATATGTATGCATATGTGTGTGGATGTGTTCATGCATGTATATAAGCAAGTAGTGCATATGTTATGTGTCTATATATATATACACACACATACATTTCTGAATCCAGTCCCCAATAACAAAAGAGTACCAAAATTTCTTCAGAATTTTAATTTCATGTTTGTTTAAAGTCTGTTATAAGGTGGGTTTTATTTTCATGATTTATCATATTTTGCCATATATTTTATGGTTTTTTCCATGTGTAATATATTTACTAGTTTATCTTAGAAAGTCCTCCCTCTCCTTAGGCAGATAGCCCTTGAATGCTTTGCAATAATAAACCAAACTGTCCTCAGTTTTTTGTTTCAGGGAAAAAGGATGTTATTGGTTTTATTTGATAATTTATTAAAGACAAATAAAATATTATGAAAGATATTTTGAGCTTAAGGAGTGGTGGCACAGTTCTTTTAAAGTGTTAGTTAATAAAATTTAGCTGGGAGGTTATCAGTTATTCTCAAGTAAATAATTCATTTTTTTTTTAATTTAAAGTATATAAGATAGCTTGTTAAGTAATCTGAAATAAAAGGTATAAAGATACATATTTAAATAACATTAAGTTTTCATAAAATCTATTACTCAGTGCCAAACTATAAGCAATATCATTAGATCATTGTTTGAAAAATTATGTGCCATGAGATACTTAATTGAATAGATCATGTGCTAAACTTATAAATCTGTGATTATTATTTTAAAAGAACATTAAGTACTTTTATTGTATATGCAATGATTGTCTATTCTGAAATCAAAATATTTTCGTCAATCTCATATAGTAAACAAAATTTGCTGTATAAAAAGTCGATTTAGTATTAATTTTGAAGAAAGCTGTAATTAATGAAGAAATATACTTACCCATTTAAAAATTTATTGTGCATGAAATTGAGCAGTTACATAATAATTAATCGCACTCGGCTTCGATGGCTCACCGCTCGATTTAATAACTTGTCCTACTTACTGCTATTATGTAATGACAGCTGTAGGTGAAATTCACGAGATGAAAATACATTCGCTGACAGGCCTTCCCTCTTCTTATAAGATATAAATTTAAATTAAATAATGATACATGAATAAAAATTGTTATTTTCAAACAATTCCGAAGCTTAAATAATATTTTCTATCCACGCCAGCCAATTATTTAGACAAAACGTTGTGTTGCAGTATCAGTATTTTGCAAGAAGGGCGACCTAGCCGGTCAAATTTTTTTTATACGCTACCCAAAATGGCAAATATATCTCTTTTCTTTTTCATGAGATTGTAGCCTATCGTTATATCCTATTAATAGGCACAAAATCTGTCACTTCCTATTCAAAATGAATTCAAGGTCAAAACGAATCATCATGTCTAGCGTTATCGTGAATCTCCAGACGACAGATGATATTGCGCGTATCCGCAGCGCGTAAGAAAGGGCCGTAAGGTGGGGTGTAGTATCAAAGAATCTTTAAGGGATTCTTTGGTAGTATGACGTCAATAATATATATATATATATATATATATATATATATATATATTTGTTTGTTTGTTTACCTTATACACCATACAATATAATTAAGCACTAAACAATATAACTGTGGACGGCATATGTAAAATATGCGAGGGCAAAGAAATATCTATCGTAAAATTATGTCTGATTGCAATTATTGCAAAATTGTTTACTGTGATAATTTTTACTACAATTTAGGTTGTCCGAGTTTAAATGAAAAATACAATTACTATTTTATTGTTAATCAAATAACTTATTATTAAGATTTGTTCTGTTAAGAAAATTAATTAGGTTGGAAATAAATATTTACAGTAGTCGTTTTGTATTTTGACATATTCTTTTCATAATCAATTCTGTTTATTTAATTAAAATAGTTTAAATTACTTAAGAAGTTATTATAATAGACTGCGAAGTTAGTGCAATTGTCTCTTTACTCAAATTCAAATCTCTGTAAATAGACAGGCCTTATAAATGTTTTTGTACTTTTCCCCAGTGTGCAGGAAGAATATGACACACTTTTTCTTAAAAGTCCTTTACAAAGATACTGCTTGTGTGCACTGCCATAATCAACAGTAATTTGGAATCAGCAATAAATATTCAGCTGTTTTACCTACATGTATATTGCCTACATGTTAAGGAAGAGGGGAATGTACCATATCTTTTTGAAAGTTTAACTTTTGTATCTGTTAATTAAGTCATAATAATTAATGCTTCAATAAAATAAAAATACATATGTAACAGTTCTACTGTCTGAAGTAAACTCATGCAAATGTTTGTGCATGTGTTTTTATTGCTGTTATTTCTTGAATTCTTGTGAAGTTGTCCTCCCCTCTGGTTTAAGTATTCAACTTTTGGTATAATAGCTAATTTCTAGAGAAGATTTTCTATCATCTCTCTGCCAAACTAAATTCTAGTTTGCTAGTTAATAACCTGGTGGTTGGTGGCAAAACAAGTTGTGTCTGAGTGTTTTCATGATTTTTATTTGCAAATCATTATACAAATTAGTGGCCCATAAAAAGGTCAAATACAATTAGTCTTTTTAGGTGAATAGCCCTCAAATGTTTTACCATATTTTAACAATAAACCTTTTTATTTAAAATTAACGTTAAAAAAGTCTGAATTTGGTTAGTTTTTAATTAAGTTAATTGAAATGTGCACATTTATTATTGAATCAAACCTCTCCCCCTTTCTTTTTTTTAAATTTTATTAACCTTAGAGTGTGGACTGGTGTGTATGTTTTGTTTCATCATAATATGTGAAATCATATATAAATGAGAAAATTATCCTGAATTCAATGTCTAGTGAGTGGACTTACTGAAGTATTTTTATAGTGATACACAGAATCAGTATAGTTCCTTTAAAAAGCTCTGTGTGATGTAATCAGATATAGATGAAAAGAATATCTGAGTTCGATTATACTATATGATGTGAAATGGCTGTAGTGTTTTCATAGTTATTCTGTTATACATGGCTATAGTATGATTCCTTTACAAATCTCTGTATGCAGATAAGTATATTAAATATTTTTCATGGTTAATCAGTTAACCAATGGCACTGTCACAGATTGCTTTGCTGAACAGTTACAATAGTTACTATCAATTGTAGTAGTTAAACCCAGGCTCAAATCTAATTGAAAGAAGTTTGAATCTTGGTGAATGAGTGTTTCTGTTTTCCTCACGTATAATGCATAATATGAATACAAATGAGTTTCTATTAAAAAATCCTCCATGAAAAGTTTTCTCCTTAAGCAGATAACCTTCATAAGGTTTAAATGTAATTAACAAAACAAACATCACATATAATTGCTGCCTATTTGATGATCCTGTACGTATGCATAAGTGCATTTAGTTCAGCCAAATAAAATCAGGTATGATAAAATTTAAGTGCAAATGATGAAAAATTATTCTAAGCTATATAAAATAGGAAAAACTTTACGAATAGCAGAAAATTGGGAACAATTATAATGAGTTCATAGTAATTGCAACAGTATTTTGTGTGTAATAGTTAATGAAGCTATTCAGAATATGTAAAAGATATTGCATTACTAAATATAAAAAGAGCAGTTTTGTTCATCTCTAGTTTAGAATGAGCAAAACTGCTCTTTTTATCAGAACAGAACTGTTCCTTCACTGAACTGAATTGTTTATGACTGACAGCTCATTAGTAATAATCTTGATAAAGAAAGATTGAGAACTGAGAGTGAATCAAATGAGTCAGCAAGGATGGAACAAAGAGTAGTGACATCAGTAGTCCCATCCTTGGTTAGTGAGGATGGAAATATGAGCACAAAGAATTGAACAAACATTGGTATCAGAAAGATTGTTCAATCAAACCATGAACTCCCTAGACTGATTTCTTTTAACTCTAGTTCTGAGATTCCCTAAAACGTCCTTTTTTATATAGAACTAGCAATAAAATCTCAGAATTTAAAAATTCAAAAAGTGGAAAATGGTAAAAATTAAATTCACTTTTAATGTTGGTGAATAAGTATTCTTTTTCCTCTGAAATGAGAATTGAACTTTTTTTGGCATATTTCGACAAAACCTATGGTTGGCTGGTTGGTTTGGCTATGGCAAGGTTTTCTATAACTGTAGGCCACAAGGCAAGGTTGGCATGTGGCAAGGTTTTCTATAACTCTTTCTTTACTTGGCTTGTAGCCAGCTGTTGTAACTTCAGACTTAGCTGTAAGTGTTTTGACTGGTATCATTTTGAAATTTAGTTATGTTTCATCAGGATTAAATATTTAATCACCACTCAAGCTTCCCATGTCTAACAAGTTACGAAACTTATCTCTGAAGATTTTCAGTGATTCATCATTTGCTGAAAGTTTTTCGTGACAATGTTTGTACACTCAACAGGTAGTGATCTTTTGGACTTCCCCCCTACCAACTAGGTTGGATGACCGCAACTCTACTGTATTTGTATGAAAAGGAATTTAAAACCTGTTCATATATGTTTTCCTGACATCAAAACTATTTTTCAGACATTTTGATTCAAATTTTTGCTGAGGATATCTCTGTTATGTGGGGGCAGATTTTTTTCTTCTGATTGATTCAGCTATTAAAAATACTTTTCTGTTTCACATTTTATTCTGCAAAACCCCTATAAAAATTTTAATTTCGATTGTTTTTAGCAAAATGTGTCGTGATCATCATCTCTAGCCAGAAACTATATTGGGTAATTAAAAACGTTCAGTGGTTTTTCAAATCAAAGTGCATTTTTTTCCTAATCATTTTATTACTGCTAATAAGGAGTGACCTTGATCAATGCAGAATTTTAAATAGAGTATTTTCTGCTCCTGTTGCATATTTCTGGTATGTGCTATGGCATAGTTTTTGTTACAGTGCAGTGATAAGAATGGAAAACTCAAAAATCAGTTTTCATCATATTATGCTCATTTATTTTTAAAAAAAATTAAATGCCAATCAGACTGCTTGTAAAATTTGTGTCACGTGTGGGGAAAAAAGTGCTGTGTCTGATCGTACAGTTTTTTTAGAAGTTTAAAGATGGAAATTTCAGCCTCAAGGATTATCCCTACCTTGAACAACCATCTTTTCACATTAAACAGTTTCGGAACTGTAAGGTAAACTAAATATTCTGAAAAGTATAGTATGTGATCATTTGAACTAGGTCGGGTATGTAAGCTGATGTGATGTACAGTCACCCCATATTTACTCGAATTTCAACATGTGATTCTTTGCTGAAAAGAAATTAAGAATAATTCCATTTTTGAAATGGCTCATTACTGGAGATGAGAAATGGATAATATACTATATTATACAAGAAATGGATTGTCGAATAAGCCAAAAGAACCTTCTTTAGTAGTATTGAGAGGAGAGCTGTATCTAAGAAAAGTAATGTTTTTTACATGTTGGGACCACATAGGAATTGAATGCTATGAATTGTTGCCATCAAATCAGGTGATAAATTTGAAAAAATATTGTTCCCAGATGAGCAGAAATTAAATCAAAGCATCCAAAACTGACTAGTCCTCAAGATGTTGTCTTTCATCATGCGAGTGCTCAGCCCCACATTTTGATGAGTGTCAGGCAAAATCTTACTCAGTATATGGCTGAGATGTTTTACTTCAGTCCCTATATTTGTTAAAGCAGGCATGTCAAACTCAATGTCTCAGAGTACAATAGTGCAGACCACAAGAAAGAAAAATTCAGTTTCATACTTAATAATGTAGTGAGCATAAAAGTGAATAAGGCATGTAAGGAAATTCTGATAATTAGATGGATATCTCTTTATTGTTTCTGTCACCTGGTGTCATTTTCTTGGAAGTTTTCAACTCTCTGGAGACATGCTACTTGCACTAGGAATTTTCAGAACAAAGGTCAGAGGAATGCCTGTAAACCTAGATTTTGCCGGAGAGTTGTTCATTTTTGTCATGGAAGTCATGTACAATGCATAGTCATAGTTAGCATTCTTTCTCTGAGAACTATGAAGGCAAGTATTTGTAAAATTCGGGGATAGTTGCTCCATTCTCGTATTAGACATGAGTTGCTCTGAATTTCTGTGAATTCCCTTAGTAAATGGGCTGGCACTTTCTCAACATTGGTGGAAAAAATATTTTGTATAGTGGTGTTTTTCAAAGAGTTCTGAATCCTTTTTAGCACCTAAAGTTGTATATACACCTTAGTGATTTTGGTATCTCAGTTCCTACAATTTCATATTAGCCTTAGAATGCGATGGTCAGTTTCTTCAACATGTTATATTCAAGATGTGGCTTATGCCCAGGAGCCTGTTAAAGTGTTCTTGCTTGCCTCAATCTTCAAAACTCTCTGAATGGCCTGAAGTTAACTACTTTGGAGATTGTCTAGCTGCAGATCGCTCAGGTTACTTCAAAATTATGTGAATGGCCTGAAGTTCACTGCTTTGGATTTTGGATATTATCAAACTGCACATTAGT